TTTATACCGCGGAACCAGATTTACTTCCCTTCAGTAATGGTGGCTATCACGTGATCTAAATAATGCCGATAATAATAAAAACATTAAACATTTGATGTATATTCTTTATGCTGCTTCTTTAATGAAAGATTGGTGAATGTATTGAACAAAAAAGAAAACAAAGGTAAGTGACTTTTATATTATATTTATTCGTTTTTACGCTTAGTACCGCGGAAAAAGATGCAAACAGGGTACTCTTTATATTGGATTTTATATCTCAAGCTTTTCTGCTTAGTTGTAGGAATTCTTCAAACTTGGGATAAATGATAAGAATTCCGTCATACAGTGAAAAATACTGTTATTGTAATTTAAGTCAAATAATTTTACATTAATCTAGTGTATCAATGTACAAACACATTATGTTTCTTTAATCATAACCGCAAAATTATAAATCAACAACTTCTTTTATTAAACAATAAATATGAAACGGCACTTTGTGTAAAAAAGCAAGCACATGTTCAATTTATTTGACTTTATCTAATCATATAGTGCTTCGTTGAAAGACATTATATATTAATATGTATTTAAAATATCAGTGTTAACTGATCGAAATTCGATACAATATGATTTGTTACTTACCTTATGTGATTATATCCAATGGGTCAAGAGGAACACTTCATGAAAGTCTCCGTTAAGCTTTTGACTTTCTGATGTTTTGGTATGAGTTATATGTTATAATTACTTCCCGTTATTGACTCAACCGTATGCAATAGACATATTTATCAGATCAGAAATGTTATCCAGCTAATGGTTCATCTTTTATAAAAATGTAAAACATGTTTATGACAACAGCATTATTATGATAATAATAAAGTCCTTTTTAAAATTTAGAAAAAAAGATAACTGCTATTATTTTCCTTTCATGGGCTTACAAAATGAACAAAATTAAAAATGACATGTATTGCTTTAAGAATTGTTGTAATTTCAGATTTTGAAAACGTGTCGTTTATTCTTGTCAATCAAATACTTAGGAAGTATCTTATTATTTGACGACAGGAAATTGTCCTGTTATATTAACTGTCTATCTAAGTGATTTCTTTCTTTATTAGGAAATACACTTAATCGAAACTCGTTTCTAAAAAAAATCGCATTGGCTTTGTGTGATAAAATGCGGGAATAAGAACTGGTATTAATTCGTTCTGTTGCTAATATCTCCCTGAAATAGATCTTTCATTTAGGGCAAAAAAGAACATAGTTTTTGGACTGATTTGGTTTCAACACTTGTTTACAATTGGTTATGTTGTCTGTTACAATTTGTTTTAAAACTTGTTTCATTTACACATTTACACACATAAAGACTGACTCCTCGGTGGTTTTATTTATATCAGCGAATACTCTATGGCTTGTTTTACAGTTGTAAGAGATATCGTTACAAAAGATAGAACTTTAATTTCCCTCGCTTATTAAGTCATAATGGGGATAATTTTACTACAGTCTGAGTGAATTACGAAATATGACTAGAAATATTTAAATTCACTGATTAAAATATAAAGTCAATTTAAAATTATTATTGATAACTTGTTTTTACAATGTACATTATATGAATAAGCAATATGTTTGGTGTTATTTCTATTGCATAAGACAATAAGTTGCACATATTGAATTATCATGGAGACTTTGAAGAATTATTATCAGCTTTTATCTTTGAATAGCATAATTGTAAAATATGTAAATATCTGTCACATTTAGTTCTTAGTTCTTGATGGTTTCCTATTGCGAAAAAGACAAGAGATAAATTATATGGAAATTACGTTATTTTCTTGAAACTCAGGTATCGCTAATAATATTTTGTTTAATTATAACATCTGTTTTTAACTTCACGTCACGCATTGATTGATATAAATGATAGATGGCTATAACTTGTCTTGATAATTTATTCATAATCTTAATTTGGCCCGTGCTAAGTGTTTATGTGTTAATGTTATTTACTTTCAAAAATTATCGTTTATATCAAGACCAGTTTGGAAATTTCTACGAATTGTTCCAAATAACTCTCAAAGGAGTTTCATTGAGGTCCCAAAGCCAAAAAAACATTAGAACAAAATAAAAAAAACATCTTAGATAAACCAACTAGAACACTTAAATAGAAAACTATTTAAAGAGATGATTTTTAATATTCCCGAAGTTAGATAAAAAAAAACTATCTTCAGAGCGACTCTTAGTCCTATTCAAGTGTAACAGCGTATCAACGCTTATCTCTTTAGATCCATTGACACAAAAAATATGAGAACTCTTGAAAACCGGAGTTAGCGAAAGATATGAAATATTCGCAGTGAATTTATAGGTATGAAACTTTATCATTAGGAACAAGCAATTATCATAGTATTGCAAGCAATCCGTAAGTCCCCTACCGGTTAAAAGCGGCCCTTAGCCATTCAATAATGTTTCAATTGTTCTCTTTTTTAAGAAAATTTGTTGGAAAAGTTCTTTAGAAGTGATCATAGGAAACAGTTTTTATGAACAGACAGACTGAAGGACAATCTAAAGTTAATTTTTTACACATCCCTGTTACCAAATATGTAACATTTTTAAAAGCAAAATTCTTAAGGAGGAGATTACTCTTGAAATAAAGATCCAAGATATCATACATGATGTGAGTGTAACAAAGAACAATTAGTAATGAGGCTGTTCATAATGAATGTTTATTTTGAATTTGAAGTAAAAGAAAGTTAAAAGAATGAAAAAGAAAAATTCAAAGTTTAAGGATGAGATAATTCTAGAAATAAGGATACTCGATTTATAAACCTTGTCATGTTATTATGATGTGGGCGTTTGCAGTAAATCCTATAAGTTATGAAAAAGTTGGAGTAAAATATACCAATTTCTCGAAAACAAATCTAAGTTCAAGGGGGACATAATTCTGGAAATAGTCTTGCTAGAGTATTGAACCGTCTCACAAATGATTTAAGTGATAATAAGAAACATATATATGAAGTTTGAAAAAGTTACATTAAGAAATAAAGAAGTTATTTAAAAAAAAAAATTTTTTTTCATGTAAGTTCAAGGGAGACAATTGTGATAATTTTTGTGCTAGAGTTAAGACCTTGTCACGTTTGATGTGGTTGATGACCAGAAACGTATGTTTGAAGTTTGAATTAAATACCTTAAGAAATAAAGAACTTATAGTGAAAGAGCCTAAAAACTAGAATCAGAAATCTTGACGAGGTTGCCGACGTTTGTTAAGTATGACAGCTCTCAATATACTCCCTATAGTCAAGATTAAAATGATGTGTATATTTTTATATTTCCAATGTTTTAAGCCTATTTCTTGCTATGGCAACCAATTTTATTTTTCAAAAAAAAAGGAAAAAAAAAGAGAAAAAGACATGCATAATCTCCATACTGCCATGTACCCATCAAGTTTCATAAAAAAATATTTTCAGTACTTTTTGCATTTTCACTAGGTCAAGCTTATGTGTTAAATTTGCCATATTTTCAGTCTATTTGTTGTCTTAGCAACCAGAATTTTCAACATAGGAAGAAAATAAAAAGACGTGGATAATTTCCAGACTGCCATCTACCCATAATACAAGTTTCATAAAAATATTTCCTAAACTTTTTGTGTTATCACTGGATCCAGCTTATGTGTAAAATTTGCCATATTTTCAGTCCATTTGTTGCCATAGCAATCAGAACTTTCAACATTGGAAGAAAAGAAAAAGACGTGCATAATCTCTGTACTGCCATCTATCAATATATCAAGTTTCATAAAAAATATTTTCAGTACTTTTTGCGTTATCGCGGGATCCAGTTTTGTGGACGGACGGACTGACAGACGGACGGACGGATTGACTGACGGACAGACGGACGGAAGGTAAACCTAAAGTCCCATCCGGTAAACCGGTAGGGGACTAAAAATATTGCCAGTCCCGTAATGTGAAATTAAACCTCTGTCTTGTGAATTTAATGCCTGTCAATGGAGATATAGAAATCGTTGCATAAACCATAATACATACATTAATGATAATAATTGTAGAATTTAGACAAAACATTTCAATCTACTTATTTAGGTTGATAATAGGTCCAGGAAAAGTAATTCCAAGAAGGACTTGTCAATTACGAAGAGTATTTCATGGGGAGTAATTATTTCCTGTCATGAAACGTATTGTGAGACTGAACATTCATAAAGTGCTTTTTCAGGGGTAAAATGACAATTATAAATAAGGGTTGCATACTTTATTTTTGGAAAATATCAAATGTTTACCAAAATGAAACGTTGTACTCTTCCATCCGGTTTAAAGTTAAAAAAAATCGTTGGCGTTTGAAACAAATATATCTAACAATCTATCACAGTAGCACTCTTTATGAATGGTGTTTTTTTATTTCTATGTAAAGTCAAAAATAGGGTTTTCAATAAACTTATTATGATTAACATTACATTTATTTAAATGATTTTTCGTCTTGCTTTATTAAACTGACATCCAACAATAGTATTAAACGTATGCACGTATATAACTGTTCATGGCCATTTGCTAAAAAAACACTGAATAAGAAACGATTAACCAAATAATAAATCGGGGATTTTTTATGACAATTAAAAAATTGATTTTCATATGACGAGTGAATTTAACTCGTATTATACCACAAAATCGTGATATGATATACAATAAAACTGATCTGATTACAGAGGTCAATATATTAATAATAAAACGTTATACATCATGTTTAAGGCATATGTTGAAATAGTATTTCAAAACCGAATAAACAACAGAATTTGTGAATAGGCTGTTCAATCCAGGAAAAAAGAAATACTCGTTCAGCTTAGCCCAATTGTTATCTTATTGGAAAAAAACTTCTGAGGCGTCACATGGCTTGGCCAGATAGCTAAAACACTATTGGAGAGGTTTTGTTTTATAGCAAAATCTATCTACGTTGACAAAATACTACAGGTTGAATAATTGGGATGCAAAAAATGATAAGAAAACAGTAACAACGTTTTTGGTCGTTATTTATCCAATAAAATGGAACCGTATCAGGATTCTGAGAGTAATTCAGACACACATTTGGGAATACTGAATGGAACAAATACGACAACAGATATAATGGACTATAATGGCGGTGGAATGGTTATTCCAACATATATGTACATACTTGTGAGTTTAGTTAATTCAATCATATTTATAATTGGAACGTTTGGAAATATTTTAGTTATAATTGTTGTGTTAAAAGTTCAAGAGATGCGGACACCAACAAATGTGTTCTTGCTCAACCTTAGCGTTGCTGATGTTTTTGTGCTTCTTGTGTGTCAACCAGCTGGGCTTCTGGAGTTTTTTGGGAAGGATAGATGGTTTCTAGGAGAATTCATGTGTAAGCCACTATATTTGTCTATCCATAAAACATCAAAAGTTGTTTCTTTTATGTTTTCTTATTTTACCAACTAATAACTGATTAAAAATGACATAACAAAGTTATAAAGAAAACAGGTTTGTAAATGTACTGCAATGAAACAAATTCTACAGACAGTAATATTATCTTAAGAAAGCTGTTTTGCTGTTTTATGTATTTACATATTAAGAGATAGAAAATGATATATTAGAATAAGAAATGTCAGTTATTTTATATATATAACTGGAAATGAGATTGAAGCGATACTTTTTCCAATTTGCATTGCATTGCAAGTATTTATATTAACAAAATTAACTGAAGAAAAATATAGATATTATTGTAATTATTGGTTGAGATCTTACTTTTTGTATATATATTTGTATACAACCAATTGAGAAAGGAATTTAGAGCTTATGATACAGGACTTGGGTTGAGAAATGATGATTGAATAATGTAATTGTGTAGAAATGTGTTGAGATTAAAGTTTTTTTTTTCAAAGTGCTCTTATTATGTTCGACAATAATTTAGACCTGCATATTAAATGAATTTACAAAAGAAATATTAATTGAGTTAAACACATTACTATGGACACGATGTACATTTTATATCTCAGTTATATGTATTTTTATTTAGTAAGAAAATATTATCTTAAGTATCCGTGAAAAGTGATCCTTTGAAACATTAAAAACAGCAAAATGACATGAAAATTGCAGATTCGGTTTGATTGAGTCTGTGCATGAGGGATAATTGGGATAATTTGGTATTTGTTCAAGACTCTCTTCCTTACAATCAACCCTTAACCCCTAAAGAAATAATTATTTGAGAACATTTAATAACACGTTAATAAATGCTTGTTCAGAAAACATTTCGGAGATTTGTAATTGTAAATTTAGAATAAAATTGATCGTTCTAATTCCTAAATTAAACATGTCAATTATTTGAGTAGCGAGATAATGCTTTAGTGCTTTAGCTAAGACACGCCGAGAATATTAGAAACATTTTTCATTTAATCTTTTAAGTTTATGACATATTCTTTAAGGAGAACTTCGTTTAAGTAATTTTTGCCAGAGTAAATAATGCGGAAAAATAAGAGTTTTGTAAAATATGTTTTTCGTGAAAATATTTGTAAAAAATGTATACGTCGAAGAAGTATCTCATAAACAAATAAATAAAAATCAATTTTCTAAAGTTATATTTAAAAGGTAGCACCATTGTGAAATTTAATAATTTGTAGAAACCATGCTTCTTATACAAAAAAAGATGAATACATATGAAATTTCGAACTGTCACAGTAAGTTTTAAATGAAAACTTAATTAAATCAAAATGCGTCTATGTGAAAATTAAAATGCAGGTTAAAAGTGTCATTTTATGTCGGCGATATAAAAACTTATTTCCTACAATAATACATCCCTAATGTATTACTCCTTTCTCCGTCATTCTGCCCAGTCCGACTTTGTTTTGTTCGGTGCCTTCCGGATGGCCCGAAAAACAATTTGGATGGGGGATATCGGGAGCATCCTCTTGTGAACGTCGCCTTGCCATGTTAATCTGTGTTCTATTTGCTTTCATGTTTTAAATTTTTACGACTATTATGACCATCTAAGTCGAAGACAAAATATATCTTTTAGATAAATATTAAGTTCAAATACTGCCAACATTGGCCTTCTACATATTATGTTATATTTTCCAGGTAAGGTCGTGCCTTTGTTGGAGAACGGCGTTCTACATGTCTCTATTCTAACAATGATAGCGGTGACACTAGAGCGATACATTGCATTGTGCCATCCTTTCAGTAATAGAATGTCTTACACTTTATCTTCAACCGTCAAAATAACAGTATGCATCTGGATAGTTGGATTTACCATAGCGTTGCCTTTTCTGTACATGACTGTACACGAAGATGCTCTGTTCTACGACGGAAGTCCAATAAAAGTATGTCGCACATTAATTGATGAAACATGGCGTTATATTTACACAATCGTGATGGCACTCCTTTTCTTTGTAATGCCTTTCTTTATTCTAATCGGGATATACTCCAAGATAATCAAACAACTTACGTCTGACACATTAAAGTCATTGTCAAAGAACGACAAAGCAACGTTAAATAGACTGAATTCAAGGAAGCAAGTAGTAAAGATGCTGATAATTATAATTGTTTTATTCTTTATGTCATTGTTTCCTATACGCGTTATCACGCTTTGGCTTATATTTACACCAAGCATGGACGTCACCAAGGTTGGACTTGAGGCATTTCTTAACATTATATCATGGGCAAGGATATTAATGTATGTCAACAGTGCGTGTAACCCCATCATATACAGCTTAACCTCATCTAAGTTCAAGATGGCGTTCAAAAAAGTATTGCGCCGAAATGGTAACACTCGTTTTACAGACAGATATACATCAAGGTACAATGGAACTGCAAATGTCCTCAGACCTGGTAAGTATCTGAATATATCACTGCACAAGTCATTTAAGTTAAACCATTAAATAAAACATTGCATCTATCTGGAAAATGGAAAAACAAAGCGCGTGCATACGACCAGTTGGTCATAAATAAGATAACAATAGATGTGTCAAACAGTTACAGTCGATTCTATGTCGCTCCTTTTAATCTGTTTAAATCGTATCATTTCTGCTTATTAGCGAAATAACTCGTTTAATTAGTAAAATATCGATATCGTAGGGTTTGAAAATATATACTCAAAGGGAAAGTAATTTGATAACGTTTCAAAATTTAACAAAACACTTTTTTTCTTTTTAATTTTATCTAATATTTAAATTTCTAAGACAATTTGCTATGAATAATTATTTATTTGTTGTTTTGTACAAACATTTGTCATGTTGTGAGAGTAAATAAAATTGTAACATTCGTCATGCGCCAAATAGTTGTTTTTATTTTGTTTTTGAAGTTGTTACCTATAGACGCACATATGCTGATAGAAGTGATGGATCTGGTAACAGAATGGACGATACTGCATATGTCTTGATCAAACTAACGATAATACCTCAGGAGAAACACGTTCATCCTTCATCTGGACACGAAACACCTGAAGACCAGCATACAACATTACGTGAACAGAATGAAAATAATCCATTGATCAAGTATAACACGGTGTCGAAACTGAAGGAATGATTTAAGCCCTTCTGAACCTTCACGGACAGGATTTTGATGTAATAAAGGAAAACATAGCATGCCTATTCTTTGAATAAAGGAAACTATTAAAGATGAAAATATTGTGACAGGAATTTATATAGTAATCAAAGATAAATTTGATAAACACCAGGTTGAAAAAATGTTGTTTATGTGCAATGAATCCTTAATCATCTAACGTGCAATGCTCTTAACAATCAACCTGAATGTTCTTTTCAGTTTTGAGACTTAAACTTGCTGCAATTGATTGTTAAGAATATCGGATTATATAATTCTGTCTGTCAGGTCAGTTTAGTTATCTATGTTAACGCCCATGTGAACAGATGTTTGGTCATATTTCAGCATTTTTATATATATTAACCGGCTTTTCTTAATAATAAATCAGTTATCAGAAATTTCTCAGGAAAATATGACGTAAGCATCATACGACGTCACGGATAACTGCGTCAAATTGTTTTTGACGGTAAAAAAATAGAACACCATTTAATTGATGAGTGCCCCTTTCAGAATTAAGATATTCAGATACATCGATAATCTTGTCATGACAGTGTTAAATATATCAAAGCTGTGACTATTTATTCTTTACCAAAATTTTTCCAATGCTGCATAATACAGTTTTAGCAACGAATTGTTGTCGACACATTGTTGTTACGTTTACCCTATTGCAAGGTAATTCACATCTGAAGATAAACATGATACATAAGAAATAACATTTTTTGACCGAATACCATCTAAAATCAGTTTGACTTCCTGTTAAACTTACAGGAAAGAATTGAATAGAAGAATAATTGTCATTGGTCATTTAAAATTACAAAGTGAAATATTGGAATCTCATTCTAGCAGAAAATGTAAAGGATATTTTTTGCAATTTCTAAGATAAAATCTGAAGGATATTTATAAAATAGTTGTACAGGAATAACATAACGTATGGACTTACGTACATTGTTTATTTTTATATATAATAAATGTCATTTTAGATTTAATAAGAATTACTTACACAATTATTAAAAACGAAATTTTAAAAGGAAGTTTATAAAATAAATGAGAAAGTTTTGTTGGCATAATAAATCTACGATGGAAAATACTAAGAAACACTGGCAATCTGAAAATCGTAAGTAATCTTTCTTATGTAAACACACTTTTGTAACAAATGACAGAATAATGAATGGGGCTTTCAATCTTTCAAAATGTAACACTGTAAGAGGTATGTGTTCCCAATTGAACCTGTTGTGTTTCGGTAAATTTAAAGGAATTCAATTTGTAACACCAACATCTGCGCAGTCGATAGGAAATTGCATATATGGATACTTGAATAATATGCAAAAATATATGAAAATTATAAACATTATATCAATTGAAATATCAATGAATATATAACATATTAGAAACTGAAGGTACCTGAAACTGTCGGATTTTTTGGGTGTGATTTTCGATATATTTAATTTGTAAACTTACAGGATCATGAATTTATTGGTGGTCCCGGTATTTGGTCAAAATTGATATATGTGAAACAAACTCAGCAAGTTCTTATGTAAAAAAACAAACTGTTCACATGAATATGTAATGAGATTTAAACACATAAAAATGTTTGTTTTTTATACTCATTATGACGATTTTTTGCCGAAAAAGTATTAGACTCATCACCTTTAAAACTGCAACAGTGAAGAAAAGGACGGATTTTATAGTTTGGCACTTGAATTAAAAGAAACATGACTGTCTCTTGTATAATTTGCGTACACAATCCTCAAAAGGTTCCAATATTGGTTATTCATTTTGCCTATATTAGGTACAGATGGGTTTATGTGTACAAACCATGGAATCCTTATTTCCATTTTTTTTCTGTCTTTTGTTACCAATGTATTCCTAAATGCTAATCATGTAATTATTGCTCCTTGCACTTTATTAGTGTCTTTACCCAAATAATTATGTTATTTGATATGGCTTGTCTGTCCCATTTAGCTTGGCAAAAGAGAATAACAGACGGAGACATGACGAATATTCAATACACTGATTTGTAACAAATTTATACGCGACAGTCTCCAGTATTTTTGTATATTTTATATGTATTATCATCTAAATAGGTTACGCTTGTTTTTTATATAAGTAAGTTAAGTTTCATTAATTTGGCGCGTGTTCTTTACAGAAAGTAAAACGCTCAGAAATAGAGGCCCTATTGATGTTTTTATCACATGAATTAAAAGGAGAAAAACAAATTGTCCCATAAACGAAGAAGCAAAAGTAAATTCCATTTCGGTGCCCGAAGCTGTTTTTTAATCTTGAATATAGATCTAGAAGTCGTATAGTATTGATAATTCCATTGTTATAGTTAATATACAATCTGCAGAAATATTTGTAAAACTTTGTGGTTTTCTTATAAAATTTGTAACATTTTAGGATACAAAATCCTAATGAGGTGTGTCAAAATAGGATGATATATGTTCTGTGATTTGACGGAAACCCTCCCAGAGTTACCGAATGGAACTTTAGTTTTATATAGTAATTAAATATTAAGTAACATTAACACAATTGAACAAAAGTTTTTGCTAGTACTTGCGATTCCCAATGTTGAGAGTGTTATTATGCAGGAATAAATTAACTTACAATAATCTAGTTCATTAAAAGTACATAATCATCAAGGGCAAGTAGATTTCATATTTGGCTTTCTTTTAAAGATTAATGACTGATGTTAATATAATACTTTTACTATTTGAATGTTTTTATCCAATAATATTTGATTTGCATTATTTACTTTATTATGTACAATGTTTATAAAAAAAAAATTTAGTTAATGAACACATGTGAACTGTGCCGAGACAAAATTGTACTTTACGAAAACAGACGTAAACCTTTATTTAAATAATTGTTTAGCCCCTCCTTGAAAACAGGCTATTGTGTTGAATATTTTTACATACAATCAAAACATCGCGAAACAAGGTCTTCAAGGCAGAATGTCTACAAAATCTAATTAAACGGTAATGTTAACAGATGATGTAATTTTGATGCGCTCGATATGACGATAGTCTGTAAAAATTCCCAGGAGAATTGGTACAATAAATCTTCAAATAAAAATGATAAATATAAGCTTTTGATTGATGATAATATTCTTCCACAATAACTAATAAGTTTGTCGCTAATGATGATGTATAGTCAAGTCACCTGCCATAAACTGAGACTAAAAGTCACTGTGTAGCAATTAACCAAATTTAATGGTTGATAGACATGAACCGGTTAAACAAATGAGGCAACGTGTGCATCAGAGGGCTTATCTTCAAGCATGTCTATCGTCTGTCTGAGTACGAGCTTACTGTAACCTTGATTGAGTATTTTACTGATATTTAATGATCAGGAACAAGATTAGATTTTAATTTAAAAAGTCATATATTTTCCATTATTTATCCTCATAGATAAAAAACTTATTCATATTCATTTGATAAAAATGGACTTGAAATGGCATGTAAATGAAATGTTAGATTTAATTGATTATTTAAATAGATATGAGTATTATAAAATCAATTTTAGTTAAAATATAAAACTATTAAAATGAAATCAGGCGTATTTGATCCTTATCCTAATCCTTTCTTAGTGAAAATGAGGCCAGGGCTAAGCAATATATCGATTGTCATATCAGAAACACCAGTTCTTTTCACCATTTGTCTGGCCAATCCAGTCAAACTTTAAACCAAGTTATCGTTCTAAGTTTAACCATTTACCCCATGAGCATATTGCGAAAAATTGCCATTTTCACTGAAAAGCCTCCTGTAACAAGTTCAAACTGCTATGAAAGTATGAAAAATGCTTCAATACTAATGAAACTTGGCACAAATGTTGACTACACCATAGCCTCTGTAACAGCATGCTCAATGGTAAATTTCCTGTTACCATGGCAATGGGGGGACGTCTCAAAATTGCCAAAAATCACTATTTTGCATTGTTTTTTTCCATCAAAACTGAGTTCAAAGTGCTGCAACTTCTCAATGAATTGAGATAGAGTAAAAGGCTTTTCAGCGTCGGTTACTAGCTACCCTAAGATCGACCTGAGGCCATTTTTAGCCTGTCACATGTCCAAAATTTTCTTGGAAATGAGGGGGACTCCGCCCCCCTTCAAACCCCCCCAAACAGAAGGGGGCACATCACCCTTCTGCCAACCCCCTGATGTAATATTTGGATGGGGGACGGCGCCGAAAAAGTGGTCACTTTTTTTAACAGCATTTCTCAAAAGAAAAACAGTGTTTGGGGCTTAAATAGGGCATTTTTTCACTGTTTGAGGCCTCAAAAAGGGGGGGGGGGCAAAAAGCCGTCGAAACACGCTTATATAAGGGAAAAGGTTAAGTATCGCAGCAAAAAGGCAAAAAAATTGGTTTCCTGCTCATGTTAAACGTAATCAAAAGTTATAAATGTTTGCAAAACTATTGCGTTTGTTCCACAGGTCTACAAATGAGTATTTATGTTTAACTTTATGTAACAGGGTCGTGAAAATGCAATAATAACGCCATAAACTTTTCAGAAGTTCCACGCGCAAATGATTTATTCCGTCCATAAGTTTGAAAAGCTTAAAATAAATCATAACAGTTACTTTCAATTGACTAAGTAAAACACACAGTTAAATGAAAGTTCTCTAACAGGCCCTTAGCATAAAGATAACATTGGATTCCTAAGAAACTTGGTTTGTTGTGATATTAAAAACAAAATTTGTGATACAAATGTATTCTAAATAAGTATCTGCATTTGCATACCGGGTAAATCCTCATTATAATTCAGAGTCAATCAGATATCCGGTAAACTAAATAGTTTTGTAATACAAAACTGGATAAATATTAAAATCAACGCTATGTCACTAATGTTAAAGAAAGAGAATTAACGTGACTGAAAACTAATTTCAATCAGCGTTTCTTTGAAATTCTAACAGGTTGTCAGAAAATGTTTTGCAGAAAATTACTATATCTCTATTTTAATTTTTTTTGCACTTTAATGGGTCAATGTAA